TAATATATAAACACACATATATATATATATATATATTTATATATATTTATGAGGAATATTTTGCATTGTAAAATGTTACTGGGAGTATGACCGAAGTTATGGATGATAGTGAGGGTACCAAACTGATGAATTAATACAATAATCATCACAACCTGATGTTTTTGTATGGTTTGTTTACATAACGTTATCTTTACCTAGTTAAACTGATAAATGAAGTTAGCTGCATTGTTAATAAGTTATTAATATTAACTTCCTATCAGAACAAGCTATCTACTTGGAGAGAAACTGAAAAACAAATTATCCTAGTAATAAGTATACCTAATTACCCTCTCTCCCGGAGGGAGGGGGGAGCGAGGTTATTGCAACCGGGTCCGTGTGTCTGTCTGTTTGTGTTTCCTTGCGCATATCTCGAAAACTGATAGACCGATGTGCACTAAATTTTTACAAAAAATGAGAAGTCAATATAGGACAGCCCTCCCCAAATTTGGTCTGGATCCAGATCTGTATCCAGTTTCTTGATCACTTTGAAGAACTTTTTATAATGGAGAAATAGGGCATTTTCGCGGGTTTGGCTTAATAACTGTGTAAATTGTGATCATATTTGTACCAAATTTCATGGGTAAATTAAGTTTAAGACTTCTCATCGCACTACTAAAAGTGATCCGGATCGTTGGTCACTGATCATTCTGGATCTGAGTAGGATTTTCTGAGCTTTAGAAGATGGAAGTTGACGTTATCCAATATAAACGCATGCAGTCTCTAAAAGGGGCGGTGGGGCGAGGGTATTCAATCCTTCTTATTGCGCTTGTGAACTATTATTTTCTTATATTCTTGCTTATAAGGATTAGAATGCAATGTTTCATCAGTTAGATATTCTTACTGTTAACGATACTTTCGGCCGTAATGCCAGTAATATCTCACGAGATCCGGCCAGCTTAGAAGATTTTGGTTAGTCCTAAATACATATATTAAGCTAACAATGCAAAGTTATTTCTATTAGAAATGTATAATATAAATGAAATTAAAGAATAATAAACTTAGGTATATTAAATATTATAGCCAATAATGATAATTTATACCTTACATGTTAATGTTTAGGTGTGGAGACAAGTAGCAGGAAATTACCAAAACTCCATCCAAAAACTAATATTTATGAAGATACAAAATAATATATAACGAAAAACCTTAATCGTACTATGAATAGATAGAATATTGGTTCTGTAATGAAAATATAAGAACGTTAAATGTAACACAAAGAAACCAGTATGTTAAATATACTATGAGGTGTGTTTAACACAACTACACCCACTAAGAAGAAGATAAAGAAAGAAAACTTACAGAAATCGTAAATATGGCAAATAAAAAAGTAATGACGTAATGAAATACTATGTACGGGTCTGTTATACATCTAGTATTAACTATACTTAATATTATTAGTAGTAGTATTAATAGTATTAACTATACTTAATAAGAACTGAAGCTAACGGGAGATAAAACCAATACTGGTTAATACACTAAAGCAGTTCGATATTACCAATAACAATTTTCAAAATAAATTATTGTGTGGACGAGAATATTTTTGAGATGTCGTGATTCGCCGTAAAACTTTTAAACTCATTATCAGTAGCAAGAATTGAATACATTTTGTGTTTAAAGTGCAACAGAAAAAACTTCGTTTGGTGAAAATAAGAGTGAGTTTACGGGCTCTTTCTATGAAGTCTTGTAATGTTTAGTTTATTTTGTATCTAAATAACTGAGAGTAGTAAACATTGTAACATACTATATTTAGAATATTCGTACTTGGAAATGAAACGTTTATAACATCAAAGTTGAAAGTGTTCATTTTATCGAAAAGTTTGAGCTTGAATGTTTGATCAATTATGCTGCTATTTAATTCTAGTTATTGTGCTTTGTTTTTAGCGAAAGAGTTTTCTTTTTTATGGTGAGCTCCGATGGATAATGTAGTTCGGGGGTGTCAAGAAAAACCTTGATAATTAGGTATAAGAATATCCTCAATATATTTACAAGTACGACGATGTGCAAAGCTTTACTAGAGTCCGCGGGGCATGGCAAGGTGGTTAGGGTACTTGACTAGCAATCTGGGGGTCGCGGGTTCGAATCCCCGTCCCACCAAACATGCTCGCTCTTTCAGCCGTGAGGGTGTTATAATGTGACGATCAATCCCACTATTTGTTGGTAAAAGAGTAGCCCAAGAGTTGGCGATGGGTGGTGATGACTTCCCTCTAGTCTTCCATTGCTAAGTTAGGGATGGCTAGCGCAGATAGCCCTCGTGTAGCTTTGCGCGAAATTCCAAAACAAACAAACAAATCAATTTAGAGAGTATTATTACTTCTCTGAAACTTAAATAATTTAGAAGTTCAACAGCATATTACTAGGAAATAGAAGAATGAACACTTTACAGTTTTTTTATTATTAATTTATCCTAGTTTATTTCAAAATTATTATTCTGTTAATTTGAATTGGGTTATTTCTTATTAAATAAGAATAGTTGCTCATCAACACACTATTGAATACCTACATGTAGTTGTGTTTATACAAAACGGTAAATTTCCTCCCAAGATATAAGTTTTTGTTCTACATAGAGCTGGGCAGTTGAAACCATACAACAAATAACCAATGAGCAATGATTACAATAATTAGTGTCATATAAACTGATCGATTGATCAAAATTAGAATTAAGTCGATAAGCCCAAATTAGTGTTTCCGAATATTACCGTTTCGAATATTCTAAAAATCAATTAATCGAAATTCGAGATTTCAGTTATTACTATTTTTGGTTCTCCCAAATATCCAAGTAAGTGAAATACGCTATTACGTCTGTTTGTTGTTAAGCACAAAACAACATACTGTTTACCTGTGTTCTGTTTAACTTTAACCTTACAATTTGTGTGATCTGCTTAACTTTAGCCTTAAAAATGTTTTTTACTTAGTCTGTTCTGCTCTAGTGGTTGAGGAAGGGAAGTGTTGGTTGGTTGTAATTAAGTACAAAGCTATACAATGGACTATTTGTGCTCTGTCCACCACGAGTATTGAAACCTGATTTCTAGCGTTGTAAGTACGCAGACATGCCGCTGTGCCACTGGGGAGCGGAAGAGAAGGGACAATTTCAATATTTGAAGGTCTTGGTTTTGATAGTCATCGACATTTCTAAAAGTGATATACTAGTCCTATCAGCACCAGTTAGTAAAACCAGTATTTGAAGTTGTTGAACAGTCTGATTCAGTACCATTTTTAATCAAAACGAAGCACAGCAAAACCATTACTTAAAGTTCTCTACTACTCCAACATATAACCTGTTCTAATCAGAAAAAAATGTAGCAAAACTATTACTTGAGCTTCTCTAACAGCTTAACACAGAACCTGTTCTAATCAGGAAGAAATATAGTAAAACCATTACTTAAAGTTCTCTACTACTACAACATATAACCTGTTCTAATCAGGAAAAAAATGTAGCAAAACTATTACTTGAGCTTCTCTAACAGCTTAACACAGAACCTGTTCTGATCAGGAAGAAATGTAGCAAAACTATTAGTTAAGCTTCTCTAACAGTTTAACATAGAACCTGTTCTGATCTGGATAAAATATAGTAAAACCATTACTTACAGTTGTCCGCCAACTCGAATGGTTTTCATAAAACAATGAGATATCCAAGAAATGTTCTCTGCTTGAAGCATTTTAGCCGTAGACTTATTTGTTTTATGAGCAAAGCCGCACACTGGGATATCTGTGCTTTAACCATCGTAAGGATCAAACCCCGAATTTGTGTCTTATAAGCGCTCAATCTTTCTGCTGAGTTACCAGTTGGCTTTAATTTTAGCAACCAGTCTTACACTGGATCATTAATGTGAATCAAGTAGATTAACATGAGTATGTTAATACTAGATGTATAGAAAACATTATTTCACTTGTTTAAGTACTATGTGTTCTAAAGAATTATTGTTTATGATATTCTGAAGAAATTTACATGTTTTTAGCCAAAGATTTATTGGTTTTAGTGCAAATCAACATATTGGGCTATCTGCGCTTTGCCCTCTACGAGGATTCAACCTAAAATTTTAGTGTGATAAGCCCATAAACTTATCGCTGAACTGCTGGGGCTCCTAGGTAAAGAAAAATGTTTCGGGGAGGAGTGGTAAACTTATCTTATTAAACTGGCCTCTTCTGAAAGAGGATCAAAACTGGACAGCGTTATAAATCTTCCTGTTTATTTACGACATTTTTACTCTTTTGTTGTTGGTTTTTAATCGTAAAGCTACTCAATGGACTATGTACATCGCAGGGAACCGAACGACGAATTTTAGCATTGAAAATCCGGAAACATATTGTTGACTCAATGGTGGGACTTAACTGTTTAAATAATAATAATGTTTGATTTAAACGTGTGTGTTTTTTTTTTTTTGTTTTGTAGAAAACCTGCGGTACCTTAGGGAGCTTTTAACTGTAAAATTCGGGTTCGATCCCTGCGGTTGGCCTAGTATTGCGGTTAACAACAAAAAATTAAATAAACAATACAAAATTTTATTTTTTAGCTTATTTTCTACGAACGAAGAATACTTTTGAATTTATTCGTATAGGATACTAGTAACTTCGAATTAATAACTAATAAGCAAGGAAACGATATAACATAAAAAAAATCCGAAAGCGCTCGGGATATCGGGTTCTTGTTCGTCGATTTTTATGTGTTTATTATAAATTCATCAATACTATTATTGTTGAAGTTTCTGTTTATCCGTTCGTTCAAGCAGACCACTGACCTTATAATTTTATTTTTTTGCTTCCCAAGTTAGATACAGCACGTTTTGTTAATAAAAAATAACGTAGATCCTACAAGCCTTTCCTTATAGAAAATATGTAGAAGAAATAGAGTTACTTGTACTTGTGTACTTATACGTTACCAGTAGTGTTAGTTCTGTTATGAAATACCACACGTACTTACTGAAATAATATAGATATACGCTGGTAATACTTGAATCACCTACCCTTCAGTCAGTGCAGTGCCTTTAAGAAGCTAGGCTCTTGTATGTATGTACAGACAAGAATTATTACAAAATGAACACGTCGTCTGCTGTCGTCGAGGTGAAAATCATTGTTCCCCCTGTTTATATAACTCGTGGGCCTACTCCGTCAAGAAACTTTTCATACGTCAAACGTTGACTTCACCTTTGTGCACTTATCTGATTGGTTTGTGTTTTGAAGCATAGAGTGGGGGCGGAGGTTGCAACATAATATGATGGAGTGCGCATGCTATAGTCTAGAACCAACAAAGATGTATGTATGTATGTGTGTGTGTGTGTGAGAGAGAGAGAGAGAAAGATGAAGTATTGATCCGCCACGAGAAGGTATTCGTGCCGGTTCCGGACTGAGTTTTGTGTTGGTTTCTGATTAACATAGTGTTCCTTTGGTCGTGATAATCAAGAAAAAAAAACTGTTTGTAACAAAAAATAATAAATATCGTTGTCCATATGACTTCTGTTTATAATATCCATAAATGTTACTAAGAAAGTTGTAGCTAAGATGATTGATTGCATTTTATTTGAAACAAAATATGTAAATGAAGGATATAAATAGTTAGAATTCGGTCTTGTCTTATAATGTTTGTTTCAAAACTTTTTAACTCATATTTTAAAATCGTGATAGCTTTTCTTTATAAGTTGTGTACTTCATGGCTTCATTACCAGCCTCTCTTAAGAACATCCAGTAGGGTGGCATTAAGAGCTTGGTTTAGGCACAACTATTCACCACTTATTTAATACCTATACCTGCTAACAAATAGAATGCGCTAAAAACTCAGCATATCAAGTGAGTCGTTATTTGGACTGCACTTAGTCTTTTACTGACTGGAAATTCTTCCTTGATTAAATAAGTGGATCCATTTGGCGACCAACAGGTTCCTTGTTTGTTTTGGATATTCCCGCAAAGTTACACTAGAGCTACCTCTACTAGCTGTCTATAATTTAGAAGTAACTTGATAAAGGAGAAGCAGCTGATCAACAACACCACCAACACTTAGGCTTCTATAATCGAAGAGTTGGATTTGACCGTCACTTTTATAACGCACCCACGACTCCAAAATATGAAGTGCAATTTTGCGGATCCTAGTTCGGGAGTTAACCATTAAGCCACACCCGACCCATTGCAGCAGATAAAGAAATATCGTAAGAACCCAGACGGTTGGATACAGATTGAAACATAGAACCTTATTAGAAGTGTTAACTGCTAAATACTGCTAAATTTACACTTTAAAAACGTATAATATTAGTAGTTGAATAATGCTTGAATATTGCCTACCGTTCACATTTTTCATTCATAACAAATCACCCAGTTCTTGAAAAGTCATTATATAAATACCCTTTATATGACATTCTACTCTTTAACTGTTCTTTACAATTATTTGATGTGTATTTTAATATTTTAACCATTAATATTTTAATTTCCTCCTTTCTTTCTCTTTGACCAACCAGAATTTTGTAAGATATCAGTTTCAGTTGGTCCAGAGTTCCGAAAATTAACTTTTGTGGTTCAGGTACAGTAAAAATAATTTAGTTACTCTTACATTTTCAACATTACTTATGTATTAATTAAAGTAGTAATAGGTACTATGAGTAAAACAGAACAGTTGTTTTGTAGTTTTCAAAAGATGACCTTTTTCTGTTACTTCGTTCTAAAAGATTCTTTTGTATCTTCCTTTAATCTCATCTATGAAAATGAGAACTGTAACTCTTTAATATACTTAAAATATTTGTAATGGAAAACTGTCATGAGCCAGTTAATATTTGGGTGTCTAGTAATTTTACAGTCCAGATATGATGTTTCGTTATACATCTTATCCAGTTTGGATGTTACACACCATATAAACCTGGGGATACCTCACTTTGTATAATATCCGGTCTAAATCAACAGGAAATAAACCATTAATTTGTTTCCATCCGTTAGTTTATTTTTCAACAAAGTACCGAAGACCCAACAGACTTTAGTTTCTAATCTATTATAATTCGCGAGATTTTAAAGTATTACATTACTGTACTTGGTAAATTTTACAGACAATTACTCTGAAGAAACGGGTAAGAGTTTAATCTATGATTAGATCAAATATGGTTCTTGAAAATTAGTGGAAATAAGTATTATGTAAACTTAATTACCAATACCGTAATTATCTAGAAACAGACATATATAAAATGAACTTCAAAGATTTCTGTATTTATCACATAGATATAAAATTATACAATTTCTAATATATAATAGCTATCCTGCCTTCTTAACTTTTTCATTTCCACGTTTATTAATACTTTATTAATAGTTTATTTATTAGATAGTTAATAGCAAAAAAACAAAAAAGGCCTACGTTTTAATATTACATTAATTATATAAAGCCTGGAATGTAAACTTTGGGATGTTTAAGGAGACATAACCTTTCATCATGATTGTACAAAGTTCTACATTCCCATGACAGTACTCCATAGGGGACGCATATATATGAATATGTCTAGGACGTTCAAAGACTCGATTACAACTGAACTAATAGTAAGATCATATCTGCAATTACTTGCTTGTTTGAAATGAGTAATGCTGTTGTTCATTATTATCATTCATTTTACATGTAAACAAAGTATCTTTGCATTGTTAGTTTACTCTATAGATTTAGAGCTAACCAAAATCTCTTAAGCTTGCCGAACATCGTGAGATATCACTGGGTTTACAGCCAAAACTATCGTTAATAATACAGTTCTTTAACTGATTATTGAATACATTCTTATTACTAAAGGTTTTAGTTTTATTGTGTGTTGATTTATTTAAATAATTCTAGTCAGTTTTTTATACGGCATTGACTTATTTACTTTATAAGTTACCTTATTTCTGATCTATAGAGCTGGGTTACTTATGGTCAAACGTTATTGATAACTGCAAGTAACATAATGTTTGCTATGAACTCACCCAGGAAGCACAATTATATTGATTTATTTATATACAACTCTCCATCGTGTTATACTTTAACTTTTACTACACAGTTTCTACCTGAGAAACTGAACAAACAGTCTTGATCATCGCAGTCATGAAATCAAGGCTGAAGGATGTATACAAAACAAATCTGTAGAGATGAAAAAAAAAAAAACATGCAATGGGTGTTGGCGCCATGCTGCTCAAACGTTATAGCGCTCGTATAAAACCCATTGTAAGAAGTAAAACAGATAGATGATTCGGAGTTAGCACGATGTGGGTAGAAATTGTAGGAAAATAAACATATTTTTAGTTGTTCAAAGCAAAGATTATGGTTCGATTGTAGAGAAACTGGCTGTAGTATAATAAAAAGAAACTCGTATAACACCTCCCTTGGGTCCTCATTTTCCAACTCTAAACCAACATAAGAATTATTATTGTTTATTTTAGGTGTTTTCACCAGGTGAAATCTTACAGAAATGAATGGCCGTCAATCCCTTAATCACTTTCTCTATAGAATATTCTTTTTAGATATTTACTTCCAAGGTAGATTTGAACATTAAAATTTTTTACGATGGAATTCAATAAAGTAGTAAATCGCGATGATTTTTTTTACATAAAACATCTATAACTGATTGTTAAGTTTAACAGTAATTGGAGGAGAGCAGTCACTATATTTTTTGTCCTCCAGTGGGTCAGCGATAAGTTTATGAACTTAAAATGTTAAACTCCGGGGTTGGATTTCCTGTGGTGGACAGAGCGCAAGCAGCCCATTGTGTAGTTTTATCCCCCCCCCAAAAAAGCAAGTGAATATTATCTGTAACTGTGAGAGCAGTTACTATTTCACATTTTACTGTACAGTTATGCAGATGTTAAAACTAGAATGTGATAATCACATATTAAGTGTAGAATATGATAGTCACATGTACAATTTATCTTTCTGCAAATCGGTGTGCAGCTAGATACAAAAATGAAAATAACAAAACACCAGTAACGTAAAAGTAAAAAACAGCTACAACGCACGTGTATTTTACAAATGAGAAAAAACATATACACATATATCTGCAGTTTGTATGCACTTATTTCAAGCAAGAACGAGGAACAAAACGCATTAAGTACTTAAATTAGGATGCTAAGGAAACGTGCTTTTGAAGCCGAGGATTTTACCGTTATTCAGAGATTTGACTTCGTTATATTAATATGATTTTTAAGCTTCATCACGTCTTTACATTCTGTGTCTCCACGTCTAGTCATGCTTTATCTAACGACAGCGTATTTTGACAATGTTCCTGTAATGCAGTTTCCATTGCTTAAGATTCTGTCGAAAGACTGTCATATCTAAAGCACGTCAATCTTCACTGCGTGTTTTCCATAATATATGTAGTGTACGAGGACGACAGTTTCCCAGTACACGTTTCAAGGGTCCGATCACTCAGAAAGCCATATTTTCTGCTCCGGAGACCTGACCGGTATGTTTTCGTATGGAATAGCATGAATACCCGTTTCATTTTCCAGCAGCTTAAGGTTGAACGGGAGGCTTAGGTACGACTTATTGCAGGTGTCTTTCTGGATGGTCTTTGTCTCCCAAGTTGATCCATATTCCTTTGCTTTCTAATGTCATTAAGTACAAGGAATATCCCCGTTTTAGAATTCATAAATCTTCGATATGAGTATATCTTTATGACCTGAGTGTATCAGTATTTTGCGTGGGCAAGAACTATCATGTACCCTACCAAAAATTAATCAATTTTCGACGTCATCACACTACTTACTGTATGCAAAACAATGTAAAAATGTAGTTCTGATACATTTTGTTTGTGACGGATTTATTATTATATATTTATTTTAATATCTAGGTTTGCTTAAATTAAATTTATATTTAGAAATATACATAACTTATACTGTTAAATATGTATTGCGAAACTCCCGCCTATTCACTAAAATTGTAGAATATTCTAAAGTGTAAGAATTAATAATATTTGTGTGTACATAAACGCTAGTGTAACTTTGTATTGTTACGTAAAACTGAAATTTCGAGAAAATCTCCACACATCTATAAATATAACCAACGCGACGCGCCAAAAAACAGTATCTATTATTGGGTTGCTGTAATTGGTGTGCTATAAACTTCGGGAGCTATAAGTGTGATTAACGCTTATTAATCGGACTTTTCA